ACCTATCTTCACATATCATGTTTGTGAAATGTGTCACGTGTGTGGGTTTATACACACATACAGTGGTGTCCCGGTTCACAAAGTGAATTCTGTCCGCAATTCTGGCTGCAAACCAGATTGGATGAGAACGGAATCAAATTTCCCTGTCAGGTCAGCGCTGAACGAAACTGAAGTGAACTGATTTAGTTCTCTTCCAATTCAGTTTGCAAATTTTCCAGAATTGTAAAAAGAAGTCCAAGAACTAAGGCACCACTGTGCACAGATACGTTCAATAATCCCCGGGCGTGTCGTGTCCACACCACATGTTCACAGTTTGACCTGACTTGATATAAAGCAAAGTAAAAATTGAAAACGTCAGCAGAGGACGGAGCACTCTCTGGGGAAGGGCGAAGCCTGAGCCCAGCGGAGAGATTCTTTGCATGCCTGATGTGAGCCTTGCGGGCCCCGGCCTCAGGCTGCCCTTCAAACCAAAAGTGTGTTCTGGAACACGCTTCCCTCGGAAGAGCTCAGTGAGCGCTCCGCCAGCGGACAGCTGAGCCTCAAAGGCACAGGTCCAGTGTGTGGTGTCCCAGCGAGACCCCGCACCCCACATCTGGATGGCTGCCCCTGCCCAGCCGCCTGTTCCCGCCGACCCACTGCCCAGCGGACTGGCTCCTGGGGGCAGGATGCCTCTGCCCGCAGAGTTCAGAAGTGACTGGTCTCTCTGAAAACCCAGGAAAGCGTTCTTCCCAGCCAGGACGCCTGCGGAAGGGTATGGGGTGTTCAGCATCAGAGGGAGGCCTCGCCCGGACCTCAGAGAGCAGGTCACAGGGCAGCCGGCACAAGGGCGCTTCCTGCTGGGAAGTGCAGGGCACCAGGGACCGCAGAGCGAGGGGAACAGGAAGCAGCATGCCGGAGAGGGCACTCAGTCCCAGCTTTGCTTATCCTCTCATCGACTGCAAAATCACGCAGGCCTCCTTCCATTCACTGCTCTTTTTCAAGAAACCTGTCTTTGGTAGGGCACTCGCTTGGGCCGGGCCCTGTGCGACAGTTTGTACCCACAGCCTCTGTGCCATCCAGAGAGGCGAGCCCAAGACCCTGAGCCCAAGACTCTGAGTCCAAGAGCTCTGAGCTGAGCAGTGAAGCGAGCAAATGTACAGAGCGAGCCCTGGGACTCCGCCAGCTCCGCAGCCACGTGCACAGCAGCTCGAGGCTGGGATGGAGGCGCTGGCGACAGGGTTACAGTCCTGTCTGCCCAGGGTGGAAGAACCCGTCTTTACTCTCCTTTCTTTTTTCTGACACACATTAGCCATCCAGGGTGGTGGGTCTCATCCTAGAGATTTGCACATGCGGGTGACGCTTTGGCCATTTGCATCCCCCCCTTCTACCCCTCCCCGCTTCCTCCTCCAACAGTCTCCTGTATTCTCATAGTCTCTTAGGAAAAGGAGCCAGGGATTTAGCTCAGCGGTGTAAGTGCCTCCCTGGCAAGCACAAGGTTGTGCGTTCGATCCTCGGTACCAAAAAAAAAAAAAAAAAAAAAGGAAAAAGAGAAAGACTCTGCATCTCCGCATCTGTGAGAAACCATGTGCTGGGCAGTTTCCTGGCCTGGTTTGTGGTGCTCAGCCGGCTGCCCGTCCTCGCTCCTGCGCTAGCAGGACTTCTCCTTCGGTGGCTGAACAAGGCTGTGCTATGTCTCCCCGTGTGTTCTGCACCCCTTTGCCTCTGAGGGGTGGCGCAGTCACCCGCTGACTGCACGACGTGGCTGTCATCACAACAGCACACAATGCAGCGTGCCGCCCAGGTGGTGTGGGTGTCCCCACCATGCACGTACTTCCTCCTTTGGAGATCATATCCGGCGGTTTATCTGGGTCCAGGGGGTCTCTCTAGCTTTAGTCATTGAGGAACCGCCATGCTGGTTCCTGATGGCGCCGTGGCTGTGTGCTCCTGCTGATATGGACAGAGGGACCCTCCTGGCTTCCTCATGCCTGGTGAGACTGTTTTTAGTGTTAATGACGAGCCATTCCAACTTCAGAAACAGCAACCAGGTTTATCTGACTTTCCGTTTACACAGTCGGAAGTGTGCACTGTGCCTCTGACATGCCAAGCAGAAGGTTTGGTCAGCGACGTAAATTTCTTTGGAATTTTTTTCGTTTCGTATCTCAGCAAAGTAGCTGCAGACAACATGGTACACTCAAGAGTGCAGAGCTAGAAGAAGCCGCAGGAGCAAAATGCTTTCCTACTGCCAGGTTTGCACTGTGAGCTCTGCAGGGGCCTTCCTCTCCCTGGGCCTCAGGGTCCTCCACTAGAAAGTGGCAGGGCTGACCTGTCCAAGCACCCCATGAAACCAGCGAGATGCGTTGCCTGGGTATGAGTTCCCAAGCATGAGAAGTGAAAATGGGCTGAAAGCCACTGTGGAAAGGGTGCTGAATTTGACGCTATTCAGCTGTGAGCTCCCTCAAGAGAGGGTCCAAGTCTGAATCGCCTTTGTGTGGCTGGCACAGAACTTACTGCAACTGAGTAAACACTGGGTGGTTGGATGAAGGGGTTGATGTACAGGTGATAGATGCTTGAGTGGGTGAGTAGGTGGATGGATGGGTAGAGGGACCAACGGATGGATGGATGGATGGATGGATGGACTTCCATTCACAAGAAGAGGCGGAGCTACATGTTCTGGAGGACCCTCTCCATCCAAGACCCCTGCTCTCGAGGTTCTCCTAGAAGACCTAATTCACACAGCTCCGTCCTGGTGTGTTTCTGGGGAGGTGAATCTTTGACTGGGAACATTCAGCTCCTGGTGGATGTGTTTGAAAGTAAACCTCTTGAAGATTAAACGAGATGATAGATGCCCAATGCCCAGCTCATACGAAAAGCTGGAAAGTGTTAGCTTCTTTGATTTTGTTATAAGAAATGGCAGAGCAGCAGGCGAGAGTGAGTGTGAGGGGGACCCACGCAGCAGACGCCCCTGGAATTCTGCAGACTCTAGTGCGGTTTGGGCTCTGAGGCTGAGTCAGCGCTGTCTGTGGCCATGACTGGGGTGACATTTTCCTTGCCTGTGCCTTGTCTTTAGCTCCTCTTGAGACCACACCCTGTGCCTCCTCTGGGACAGCAGGCAGAATTCCATCTAAGAAGGTCTTCATTCGGAGCCTTCAGGGCATGTTTTCCTGCTGTGTGGCCTCCCACCTATGGCCGGCTTTTGGCTCAGGCCACAGGGCTTTGGTAAGCTCAGGGAAGCTGCTAGTGTATCGGTCATGGTTCCATGCCTGCGGCAGTCAGGGCAGTCTGGCCACTGTGTATCTGTTCTGCACCCTCAGCCCTGACTTCCAGACTGAGGAGCAGGAAGGAGCTCCCCCTCCTGCTTCATGCTTTGTCCGTGAGCACAGTACGCAGGCCCAGGCGGTGGTCCTAGCGCCGAGCCCAGAGCAGCAGCTGTGGTCCTGTCCGGCATCTCCATGTGCCGTGGTTTCCTCCCCCAGTGGTCCAGTCCCATCCTCCTTGGGCAAAGCTTGGCTGAGGGCTTATGGAGGGCTCTGGGCCCCTGATGCATGAACGAGCAGGACTTGGGGCCACTGTGCCGCTGTGAGCAGTGTGCCGGGGAGGGCGCCCCTTTGGCCCCTGGGGTCTGACTTGCACCCAGCAGATAGGAGGAGGGAGTGGAGCTCACCCAGGGGTTACACAGAGGTGCCCCCAGCAGGGCGCCTGCTTCCCTTTCTGGGTGCTTGTTGGGAGACCCAGCCAGTTCTGACTCTGAGCCTAAAGACTGGGAGCCTTTGGCCACCCTAGAAACCCCAGCTCTTCCTCTGTCCCTGCCCCAGGCAGCCCGCCGGAGCCTGGGATCAGAGCGGGAGCTGGCTGTTTTTATTTGTTTGTTTTGTTCTTCTCAGCCAGCTCCTGGGGGTGCAGCAGAGACAGCTGCTGGAACAGGGGAGTGGGGGGGGGGCCTGGCCTCTCTGCTGTGAAGGGCCGGGTGCTTGGGGGGTCTCCATCCCAGCCCCACGCCTGGTCCTCCTCCCTCTCCCCAGGCAGGCAGTCCAGTCACTTCTGAATTGAGCTAGAGTATGGGGATGAATGCGCCCTTCTTGTAGACCAGCTGTGGTGCTTTTTACACGCTGGCCTGCACCTTGCCAGCATTTTATAGCCGCTCTGTGGAAGCATAATTCACGTACTACATAGGCTACCTGTTTAAAGTCGTGGTTCACTGTCCTCTTGCCTGGTCTTCCTCTGCACACAGCAGTTCCACACCCACGGATTCAGCCAACTATAGGCCGGGGCAGATCCATACTGAGCGTGGATGTGCCTCGCCTTCTCAGCCTCATTTCCTTAGTGATACAGTGTGGCAACCCCATAGAGAAGTTACATGGCGTTAGGCGCTGCAGGATACCCAGCGGTGACAGACACCGGACAGCAGCGTGTGCAGGTCCTGTGCAAATACGGTGCTGTCCCACGGGAGAGACTTGACCACTCTGGTGCCCGCAGGGCCTCCGAAACCAATGCCCTGGGACTCCCAAGGGACACCAGTGCATTCCCAAGTGTGCCGTCATCACCACGGTCACCTTAGAACACGACCATGACCCCAGAAAGAAGGCCTACACGGATTAGCCGCCTCTCTCCAGCCCCCACTCTGAGCTCCAGGGAGCCAGCAACCTCCTTCTCTCCCTAGATTTGCCGCTCATTTCGCGTGGGCGGAAGGAAGCCTGCTGTGGCCTCGCGTCCTAGGGTTTCCCCGCCTTGCTGCAGACTGCACCTTCCTTGTCTGTCTGCAGTCTCGGAGCTGAACCCAGAGTCTCGCTTGTGCCGGGCGGGCTCCCCAACGCTGAACTGCACCCCGCCGCCCGGCTTTCCCTTGCAGCTTCCTGTGAGCCCCCGTCTGCAGTGTGTGAGGTTCCTGGCCCCTCTTCATCGCCTTCCTCCTTTCCCCCTGTGAGCAAGCTCTCCCCACTACTTCCTGTTTTGTTTTGCTTTTATTTGCCGTTTGGGTTTCTCATATAAAAGAAGCCATGCGGTGTAGAAGGTTGTGTGCTGTTTTATTTCTCTTGAATACCATGATCTCAGACGCACCCATTTTTTAAACTTCAGGATGTCCTGGAAGGCATCACATGTGACGGTGTCTACATGTCCTGTTCCTCTTATTTTATTTACTATTTTTAGTAGGTATTAATTGTTAGGAATTCAAATGCCTGAAAAAGATGCACAATGAGAAGGAAAGTCCCCACCAGTATCTGTTAGCCAGAGCTCCCTCCCCTCCCCGGGGGACCATCGCCAATTCTTCCAGGGTCTTTGAAAGGGCGTTTTGGCCCCACACAAGTAAACACATCAGTCAGCAGTCTTTCCCCTTGTGTTTTTCAGCTTGATAGTAACAGCACTGTTGCTTCAGCTCCAGACTGAGATGTTCCTGTGTGGCAGAGCTTGCTGGCTCTTTGGACTGGCCACATGAAATAACATTCGGGTGACATCTGAGGGATAAATTCCTAGATAAAGCCTAGCAGGGTCAGAGCATTTGTGGAGAAATAACACTGCCTGCTCCCGTGAAGGCTGCGACCTTGTCCCGGCCCCCGCCACACCAGGCCGGCCGTGTCTCAGGTCCCACTCGGCAGCCTGTGACCATCTGGAGAGCGGGCACAGCTGTGTGTCCTGGGGAACGCACTGTTGTGTAAAGATCGTGGTGTGGCTTTGCACAAGCCAGGGGACTGCAGCCTACAGCACCCCTGGGCTGCCTGGCGCCCCCTGCTGCGAGCCTGGGCCGGTCCTGCAGACGAGTGTACCACAATGTTCATGGCTTAGGGCTCTGCACACACGGAGGCCTGGAAGAGATGCAGTACCAGCGTGAGGCGTGAGGCGCAGTTTTTCCGTTTCTTTATAATCTTAGGGGACCAAGGTCAAACGTGCAAACTGCATTGTGTGGCCCGTGATTGTAATTTTTACTCACACTATGAAGCCACATCCAGGAAAGTTTGCACTTGCAGCCTCTGCTGACTAAGGGCAAACATTTCGTTCATCTGTTTCAAAGAAGCTTTTACTTCTTTTCTGGAGAACAGCTTGGCCATTTCCTTGGTCCACTTTTTTATGGGGTTGTTTGTCATTTTCTTTTTATAGAAATGCCCGGAGGAAATTTTTCTATGCTTTGTAAATATTTTATACTTTTCCTAATAGATTTGTACATCTGGGGATTTGTGCTTCATTTTTTCTCATAGGTCATGCAAAAAAACCCTGTTTAATGTACCCACATTTATCCGTCTTTTACAGCTTCAGAGGTTTGTGTCCTATATAAAAGGGCCTCTTCAGATTGGAGATTATAAAAGAAATTTATAGTTCCTTTTAGTACTTTTATGGCTTCGTTTTGCTTCGTTCTTTTTAGAGGCTGCATAGAGTTGCTCTGCACGGGTAGGCTGTAATTTACTCCACCAGCCTCCCATTCCCGAGCACTCTGTGAACTGACGCTGTTCGGAGCCCCTCCTGCTGTCAATCCGTGTGCATGGTGGGGGTGGGGCCTCCCCCCGCACTCACTCCCTAGATCAAAGAGCCATGCAGTGCGTCAGTCTCCGAGTCTGTCTCTGCAGAGACCACTCTGCACCCCATCAGTGGCCCGGGGAGCAGCTGGTGCAGAGCCTCCCCTGCTGTCCTGTTCAGGTGGGATCCATCCTCTTCTGTGTGCTTCTCTAAATGCTTGTTGGGGAGGACAGACAAACGGACGCGCTGGGCCTGCCTGGTTCTGCACCAGCAGCAGGCTTGGAGACCTCAAATTCGGCACCCAGGCCACCACATCAGAGTGGCCGTCTCCCAGGCGCTGCTCAGCCTTCCACCAGGCCGCACCGGGTGCCTCGTGTGCGTCTGCTGGACACACAGCTCTTCTCTTTCTGGATGCTTCTGACGTACTAAAGGGACGGGCTCTGAGGAGGTCTGTGCTTCCTTCCGTATTTCACCTGTCAGTTAGAGCCCTTCTTTACAGTGACTGATTATCCTTATAGGAAGGTTAAGTAAGACGCTAGACCGAGTGACACACACCTGGAATCCCAGCACTGTGGGGAGGCTGAAGCAAGAGGGTCACAACTCCAGCCCAGCCCGGACAAGGCAGCGACTTAGCAAGACTCTGACTCAAATGAAAAATCAAAGAGGGCTGGGGATCCAGCTCGGTGAAAGGCCCTGAGCTCACCCCAGTACAAAAAGGGAAAAAGGCGGGAAAGAGACACGAGGGAGGTTTCAGAGCCACCTTCCTGCAGGCCTGCGGCCTCCTCCTCTGCCTCCTGGCTTCCGCGGCCTTCGTTTTCCCTCCTGAGCACCAGCTCTCTGCTCCTCGGTTGGAGCCTGGTTCTTACGCATTTTTATTCCCTAATTGCCTTTATTTGTTAACTGCATTTACTAACATTTTCCTCTTGCCAATTTCTAAGGCCCAGAGCTAAGGTGGTTTTACCATTCTGCCAGTAGCTCCCCAAGCCGGCTCCAATCCCAGGCTCTCTTGGAGTTTTGTTTGCTTCTTTGCAAAACAAACAGGAAGAAGGGAGTGCCCCGGTCCCAGGACTGCCCTGAAATTGAACAGAAATGTGGGCACGAAGGTGTCTAGCTTAGGGCCCGCCACAGGTCTGCCTGTGCTGCTGTGACGGATACCTCGGGCTGGCTGGACGTGCTGGGAGCTGCACAGGCAACCGAGACAGAAAAAGTGCGTGGGCCTGGGGAGCCAGTGAGACGTCCTGGGTCCCATCCCCAGGACCGCCACAAAAAAAGGAGGCGGGGAGGAGTAGAAGAAAGAGAGAGGGAAAGAGAGAGAGAGAGAGAGAGAGAGAGAGAGAGAGAGAGAGAGAGAAGGAAAGAAAGAACACAGTAGGCTTGAACAACACATTTTCCTCACCGCACCGAACGAAGTCTAAGATCAAGTGTCACCCAGCTTGGTGTGGGGTTCGGCCTCTGCCTGCTTGTTGGTGGTCATCGACTCACGTGTCCTCAATGATGGGCACAGGAATCTGGTCTTTCTTCGTCTTCTCACATGTGCATGGGGTGAGGAAGGCCCAGGGCCCATGAGCTGGACAGCAGGAGTGGACTCGGGGTCACTGCTGCCGTTGGTAGCTGGGGTAGAGTCAGTCCTTGGTCCTCGAGGGGCCGCTGGGCCTCCGAAACCAGGCAGAAGGCAGACAAAACATCGAGGTGGGCAGTGACCTTGGATGATGACAGCTGGGGGGACAGGGAGAGGGTGGCGGTGAGAGCTGGAGCAGCGTGGGGAGAGGGCCGGGGAGCAGGGCTGAGTGAGGAAGGCAGCAGTCGCCACATGGCCAGCGCTGTCCCCACTGTCTGTAGCTCGAGTGTGATATTCCTACACCCCCACCCCCATCCCATCTCTTCCTCTGATCAGGTGGCCCCCGAGCCCCTGCCGCTGTGCCCCTGGTCTTGGTCCTGAGTCCTTGACAGGTTTTACCTTAGGGAAAAGAAAAAGAAACCCAGGCACAGAGATTTCCTAATAGAAACCAGATGAGGCTGGTGGGAATGTTTTTCCCCCCCGCATCCATCACCAGAGTCCTTGCTGTGCTGAGAACATGCTGGGGCTTCCCAGGCTCTCCCACCAGGAGCCCCCCCAGACGCTGCCCAGGAACAATGCTGTCTCTGTGCATGGCTGCAGGGCCCCCCAGGAGCCCACCGCCCTGCTCCATTCGGGTGGGACAGGGTCAACCAGCTCCAACCCCGGGCCGTTTGCAGAGCAAGGTTGGCTCTCAGACAGGAAGGGCCATGGAGACAGGGGGCATTGAGCAGGTGGCAGAGGGCAGGACGGTCACCTCCTGGGAGTCCCTTCCTGAATCAGGCATAAAGGCAAAGCCATCACCATCAGGCAGCCCTGGGCTGGCCCTGGGAGGGCCCTTCAGGACGCTGCACCCAGGCCGGAGTCCCGTAGAGAGCCTGCATCTGTGTGTGCAAAGCCTGCCCAACTGGGCTGTGCAGAGTTTGGGGGCCACACCCAGCACCCAATGACAAGTAGTAGACGTGGGGTCAGTACAGCGTGACTGAACAGCCCGAGGCACGGGTGGGGGCATCTTTTTGGCTGAGGTTCCCCCCTCTTCAAAGAGCCCAGGAGGAAATAGCCACTGGCATCAGGAGCCAAGAGGGGGCAAAATCAGAAGAGGGCCGCAGGCAGCTCCTGAGAGCGCCGGGCAGGTGTGGCAGCCCCTGATGTCCCTGCAGTGGACTTTGCAGATGGGAGGAGGTGGCCCATCTGGCAGATGGGATGGGCAGACCCAGCTAGTGGGAGCAGGAGCTGAGGGGCTGCTGAGGGGACAGAGGGACACTGCGGTGCCGAGCTGAATCAGGGTGGGGAGAGTGACCCGAGGCCTGAACCTGTCCTCAGAAGCTTCTAGAATGGTGCTGTGCTATGTGGGCCACTTGCATTCATTTTGTGTGTTTTCAGAAGTGGACACAATTCGCTTCATGTGAAATTCACCATGTTAGATTGTGCAGTTCCCGGCTTTTAGTGCAGTCGGCCCTCTGCGCGCGGCCTGTTACCCCGTGAAGAGCTGCAGCTTGAACGCTGCCCACCCCTTATGGCCTGAAGGTCCTCGCGCACTCGGGGGCCCTGGGCTGCAGAGCTGAACCTTCAGCCGGTGTCACCCGTGGTTCATCACATCTGGGGGTGCTGCGCTGGCAGGGGAAGGCGGCCCCAGTCAGAAGCCTCGCCCGCCCTTGGCTTCCATCCTGTCAGCCCCTGACCCCTGTCCCCCTGTACTCTGTGGAGTCGCCTGTCCTGGACGTCTCGTGCAAGACGATCACTTGGTGCCTTTTACCCGGGCTCCTTTCACTCTGCCACATGTTTCTGAGGTTCACCCTTAGCTCCTTACGTTTAAATCAAAGTAAAATGAAAATGACAGTCACCACGGTCACGATTCCGGTGCTCCACAGACGCAGGGCTCTCTCCCGGCTTCCTGCAGACTTCTCCGGGCCAGGCGGCGTGGCCTGGCGGTACACGGCTCGGTTCCCGAGGGCCGTAACTGGGACCCACCTCTCGGCAGCCCCAAACTTCTGATGAAAACCGTGCCTTGTGGCGGGGCCAGCCTGTCGGACTTCCTCTGCTTTCCACTCGGGGGCCTGTCTGCAGGCATCGGAGGCCCGGCCGGCTGCTGCACATGAGTCTGATTAATAACGATAGGAACACAAGTCAGCTGTGACCGCATGAGTGCGGTGCAGGGCTGGAGAGCCTTCCAGGGAGCACACTAATGAAAAGAGCCCTGGTGTGACTCGCCCTCCAGGAGGACTGTTGGCGGCATTCTGGGTGCGAGTCTTCAAGCTCAAGATGGGGGACGGCAGCACAGCGGGGGGAACACGCAGAGAAAAGCGTGTGTGTGCAGCGGTCCAGGGTTTGTGTGCATGCGTGTGTTTACCTTTCAGAGCACGTTTGCACACACGCCTTGGTTTCTCCCAGCAGAGCCAGTTCTCTCCAGAGGAACACGGGTGTTTGCAGATCACCACCCGGGAAAGCCAGTTCCTTTCAGCTCTTTTCTGTGCGGTAGTTTTCCTTTTGAAAGTTCAAATGATGGTCACAGTATAAAAATTAACAATATACAGCTAATTCAGAGTTTGGGAGAAAAGAGAAGTTTGGGCCAAAAAACCATCTTTTTAAACAATCCTTTTAAGTGGAAACTTCAGACGCTGACAGAAGTAGCACACAGTCGGGTCCCACCGCTGTCCCCGGCCCCGCCCCGGCCTCAGCGTGTGACTCAGTCGCCCTCCCTGGCTTGTCTGTTCACCAGTGTTTGCCTTTCTACGGACACGAGTCTGCTCTCAGCTTGTCCTCTGACCTTGTTACTCATCTTTAAACTGATACAGAAAAGCACAACCCTTGTGCAAATGCACATGTGTCGCATGATATCTAAATCAAGTTTAACCTCTTTTAACATTATTTATGAGAAAAATTTCAAAATCCTGTCTTCTGGATTTTTGAACTCTGGGGTACGTGACCGTGACCTGAGTCACCCTGCTGCGGACCAGCGCCCAGACGCCTTGCTCCCACCTGAGGGTCCCTCAGCCTGGGCCTCCACTCCCCTCTCCACTTCAGCGAGGGCAACTTTTTAGATCCCACGAGCACGCAGGCTGGCTAGTGACTGTCCTTCACATGTTGGCCTCCAGTTCCACCACGTTGCCAAGGTGACAGGATTGCGGCCTTTGCTGGCTGACTGGTCCTCCTCGGTGTGTGCATGGGTTTGTGTGTGCATGTGTGTGTGCACATGTGCATGCCAGGAGTCCTCTAACCATCCCTCGGTGTATGCTCACCCAGGTGTCTGCGTGTCCTGGACAGGACCAGGCGAACACAGGGTGCAGCTGTGTGGGTTTCTGGCTCTGTTCAGCCTTTTTGTTGTAGACAAAATGGTCACCCGGGTGTCCAGATGAAGATCGTCCCATGCCCTGGTCCTCGAGGGCCACATGGGTGAGTTTCCTGGTTTCTCCTCTCCATCCCAACATTTGTCAGGGGACAGCAGTGTTTGCTTGGGACCTGATCCCCTTCTGATCTGCATGTGCCTCGGAGCGTGTCCTGCAAGCACTGCTCCTCTGTCCATGCCTTGAGCGTTCCCCACTGGGGTCTCTGTGTGCAGGCTTCTAGAGCGTTCTGTGTTTGAAACTATTTCGTCGGAGCCCTCAGAGCTGGGTGACTCAGCTGGCTGGCTGTAAAAGCTCTGAGCTCAATGCTTAAAGCTTCGATACTCATTTCATTATTCAAGATTTGTATTTTCCTTGTCATTTTGCAGTCAGCGCTGCTGTTGGTGCATGTGGTGCCAACCCGGGGCGTGTGGCTCTGTGGTTGCAGTGGTCACGGGGAGGGGTCCCCTGCCTTCTCTGGTGAGCTGCTTTTGCAGGGGATGCTTGCGTCACCCACTCACCTGTGGCCCAAGGTGAAAGCCGTGCACACTTGCAGCAGCATCTGTCTCCAGAGCGCCTGGGCCTGGGAGGAGGGGACAGTGACGGCTCCTTTGGGGACCTCTCACTCCCTTCTCGGGCCACAGCACCCCTCCTACACTGCGCTCCTCACCCCAAGTCTGCCTGTTGCTGTCTCTGCCCGTCCTGGTCCCCACTCACCTGCAGAGAGCCTGGGATGGCTGTGTCACCTGCCAGTCTGCCAGGGCAGCCCAAGCAGGGACTCTCGGGCCTGGCTGATGTTCAGATGCCTAGGGGGCTTCCCAGGGGTGATGCCCACTCTCAAGGGCAGATGGAGGCTTTGCGCTCGGGAACCCACCCCCCGATCCCATCCCCAGGCCAGACACAGCGAGTGTACTTAACATCTTCCAAGTGTGACTGGGCCCCCACACGTGGACAGCTGGCTGTGGGTCCAAGCGACTTCCACCCTGCTGCAGGCCATGAGACAGACCCACCCCACGGCCACTGCCTCCTGAACACCAAGTGACTGCAGGGTCTGAGGCTCCCGCAATGGGAAAGCAAGGTCTTGGCAAGCAAGGTGACTTTTCTGCTCCATGTGGCAGCCGCTGGGCACTGCCCACACCGCAGCTGAGAGAGAAGGGGCCAACTGGAGGGGACAGGACTGGAGCGGGTCCTCGGGGTCAAGGAAGGCCCCAGAAGCTGGGCTCGCGTCCTGCCTGGCACTGCCTCAGTGGCCTTTGGGTGCGGTGGCTGCTTAGTCCTCTGTGGAGCCAACTAGAACCAGCAGGGAAAGCTGTCCAGCCTCCTTGAGGTGGCCGAGGGGCAGCAAGGCCGCTCCCTCCGGGGCCAGGGAAGGAGCCCTGCCTGGAGTGGAGCTGCGAGTTCAGCTTTGGGTTCTCCTTGGAGTCCTACGGCCTTCGTTGGTAGAGGGTGGACTCACCCAGGCTCCGGCTTCCGTCTGCTCCTCTGTCCCAGTCACAGCAGGTGTACCGGTGGTTTAGGGAGTCCTGGCTCAGTCAGGAGCAAGAGGCAGATGACTGCCATCGCGTGGACGCTTGGTTCATCCTCTGCTCCAGCTGCCCCATCCTCTCCCAGCACAGCCAGGGTTCAGCCTGCTGTGGGGAGGACGCTTGCGGGGGGAGGAGGTCTGCCCTGAACATGTGCGGACCGCTTTCTTGTCATTACTAACAACGCAGGATTCTATTCCCATAGTGCTCACCTCATAGTGAGTGACCCAAAGTCTCCAGAAGGGCCACACGGTTCCCTGCAAACACTTCGCTGCCTTATGAGGCGGGATTGAGAAATATGGTGCATTCCAATTA